TGCATAAACGTTTGGGATTGACTGTATAGCCAATACATCCTTAATCTAGTTTAATAAAAGAAGGATAACATTGAGTGATGGTGTTACATATTTCATGATGTTTGAAGCTCGCCAGAAAAACTCCTAAAATGCCTCGATAAAGATAGACGCAACTATTTCAATTGGAATCATTATAATCAGTACAAGTCCACTATCCAGTATTTAATAGAGATGAGTGATACAGCTGGAGAGAGAAACGAGTCGAAGGAAGCTTGATCGGAAGATAAGAAGTTTGATTCGCGTACGTTGTGTGATCGTAAATTGTAAAGAAAGCGCGTGGAGATAAGAAGGAACGGAGATATGGATATATGGAGACACACTCGTCGATTCTGATCGATAGTAATCGTACTCGTTGTCAGCACGGTACGAGGCACATTGTATTATAACATTATACATATATACATATATTGTATCACCTATGTTTTTGTATTTGCTAATCTAACGAGATACGAAAAATAAAAGAAGAAACAAAAAAAAATCTACAAAAGAGATATCGAATTAACGAACAGAAGGTTCAAATAGAAAGTATATTGTATATTTGAGTAAATTCGTGAGGATTGGTGTTATCCACGACCGGGCAAGCGGCGGGAGCGGGGAAAGGGAAAGAAAAAAGATGTTCACCCCTTTTACTGTTTACTTTTCGTACACCGTTTCCTTTTTCTTTATCGCGATCGATGCAAGTGTACATGCTCAGGAAACGTGGGTGGGAATCAATTAACTATTAGATAGTAATCCAGATTTCGAACGACTGTCCTGGATAAAGCCAACGCTCGTTTACTCATAACTTATATTATGTACATCGTCTGAAGAAAACCGGTACGTTCGTAAAAAGAAAAAATAAACATAAGTATGTATCAATCTGTTTTCGTCCATTCCCTTTCGCATTCCACCACCGACCGTACAATTAACGATTCAAAAATAATTTCATGTACGAAACTGATTTTCCAAATGATCAATTGTATACATATTCATATAAAAATCAATGATAATCTTTTTATAAATTTTCATTATCGTATCCTCAGGAAGTGTGTATAAGCTATCCTAATCTTATAGAGGAAGTCCAACCCTATGAAGATTTCTCGAGCATGAGGCACTGGACCGTTTAGTTCAGTTCGAGTCTGGCAGCTTAAGAGAGAGAACTGAGAAAAATTTAAACCTACTTCCCTTAAAACCAACAGATTGTACGAATAAAAATTCTTTAGTCAATTTCAGTATCAGGGACAACCTGTGCGAGGAATTTCAGTGAATAAACCAGTGAAAAATTTTGCAGTTTTAGTAGAGAAAGAATGTACGCCCGACTCGAGTCAATCGAAATTAAATAATATAAACACGGATCGAGCGCGTGGAGCGAGCGATGTGTATGTTGTATCATGCGGCCGAAAGCCAAAATCAAGGGTACACGCGCGCAAACAATCATTCTTCACTTACGGAACGCGGAGCATGAAGATCGAACGCCATGTGAGTACTTGATAATAATTGCAGAAATTGAGTCGAAAATGTTGCCATTCTGGACTGTATTTGATCGATTGATTTCTGAGCATGATAGAAAGGGGTGAACGTGATACTCGTTTCGTTGTAAAAGTTTTATTTAACTTACTTAAAATGTTTCCGAGTGAGAGAATTGTACATACGTTTATAAACATGTCGCAGTTATACCGATAATAAAAATTTTACAATGAAATACACGATTACACGATAGTTTATTCTTGTGTATTTTTCAATCGACAAATTAAATTCTGAGATCATCCGATTCTTCGTTCCTCCATCGGATACATCTGTAATACGAACGATCAGTATGCAAATAAGTAAACGCGTGTATCAATTAATTTACTTACATTCTTGGAACATCCTTGATGAACCGAGGTTCGTTCGACCGTTTAGGGAAATCTGTTTTGCATTTTTCTCTCCACACCTTCGTGCTGTCCAAAAGAGTCGAGTAATCTCGAGCTTCGACGAGCTCGACTCTTTTTATGTTCACCAATTCGCTCCTGCTCGGTTTCTTCGACCGCGAGATCAGATCATTTCTTTTTTTGGTAAATTCCTTGTCTTGCTTCCTGAAGGCTTTGACTAAAGTCACGTCGTATTTACATTTTTCTTTCGAGAGCTGTTCAGTTTCCTTAATAGCGTTCTCCAATGACTTCTTCCTCTTGTATTCGTCCAAAGCAGCCTGCATTTTTTCACGACGCCTCCTCCTTCGATTCTCGTCCATCTCTTTACTCAGTCTCCTCTGTGTTCTTAATTGTTCTTCGTCCATCGATCTCTTGCTCTCCCTTTCCATTTTCCACTTCTTAATCAACTCTTTCTTCTCGCTTGTGCTCGAACTAGCGCTGCTACTCGGACTCCTCGTCTTCTTCACGTCAATTGCTTTTTTCTCTTTGATCGTATCATTTGAAAAATCATTATCTACGTTGCAATCGTTAATTTCTTCTTCTGCTTTATCGATATTCCTGTTTCTGTCCGATTCCTTCCGTCGACGCCATTCCTTCACCGCCGCTTTCTGTTTTTCACGTAAGCTCTCATAATGTTTGTACCATGCTTCGTGGTTCACTATAGTTTCGATAGACAAGTCTGGACATTTATTTTGTATCGCCGCAACGAGAGCTGGAATACTCTCACACTTCTTTCTCATTTTGAGGAAGAACAGATGATCCTCTGTACTCCAGTTCTCCGTGTGTCCTATTAGAAATTCAAATAAAGCGTACTAGTATTCTTTCGTACATTTAAAAATTAGTTTTCCTACCTGTCATCGCGACCAGAGAGTGGAAATCGTCCACGTCTCTAAATTCTAATTTTCCTTTACTACTTTCCGTTTTGAATGGAAAACACGTTTCAGATTGTTGGATCTTTTCACACTTTTGCAGATCAATCTCGAATTCATTCAATTCGGAGTCTAACGCGACTCTTTCGTCCATCAAAGTCTGAATCGGGCAAGATTTCTTGAAATCCTGCATTTTTTGCGAAAGTTTTATCAATCTTAATTTGTAAGTGTTTACATCTAAACAAAAATATTTAAAAAACGTTTGCTCTTATTGCATCTGGAATGATTAGAGTTGCTGTACTCGTTTACCTAGTTTCTGTATCGCTTCAGGATTTTCTGCAATCTCTTTCACGGACTCCATCTCGGCTGTAATATCTTTCACATTATCGTGTAAAGTGTTCAAAAAGATTTGCCTGTCAATACGAAATCAATTTAGTTAATCGATCGAATTTCAAAATAGCTGTTGAAGAATTTACCTTTTTGAAGATAATTCCCTGTGCTCGTGCACGATATCGTGTAACAAATTCGAACCTATTTTCATATTCTCCATCGCCCCGATCAACCCCTTTTCAAGAATCTCTTCTTGCTGCTTCAACCTCAGCAACGGTTTCATATACAGATTCTTCTCCGCGGAAGTTATTTTCTTTCTTATGGATTCTTTTCGTTTCTCAACGCTAATTCTACTGTTAGCATTCATTTGTGCAATTAATTAACTAGAAATCGGCTTAGCAGAACGAACGCGCTCGACGTGTAACGTCAAAGTGTAACGAAGTTCGTTTCTATTTTCGTTAATGTTCCGCGAGTTTCCATAGCGATTCCCCATTCGGTAGCCTCATACGTCTCTCACACCTGCTCGTTTCGAACGAGAAAGTAGGGACGGGGACCTTGATAATTGTGCTTTCACATGGAATTTGATTGAGATGTTAACTGCATAAGGAGTATGCAAATTGCGCAAGTTTTTGTTACACCGCGTCGCGGTGCATGCATAGTGATTGATACACGCTTGTCACAGAGATGACATAACTTTGAAAGTTCAACAGGAATTTTATTAATTACATTGTTGTAATCATCAGGGGAAACATCATATAATATTAATATATCTTTAATGCATTCGGATGAGCTAAGAAAAGGGATGATCTCGGATCTCAAGTCTCATTAAAAT